GCACAGAGCCCGACGCGGGGCTCGAACACACGGACCGCGAGATCTTGACCTGGGCCGAAGTCGGACGCTTAACCAACCGAGCCACCCAGGTGCCCCTCTTACCTAACATTTTAGTTGGAATCTATAGTTATTCACCTGAAACTCCAAAGCCTAACACCTCTGGAAACCAAAGGGTAATTTTGGAGGGAGGAGTTAAATTCATTTGGAGGGGAAAAATAAACCCTGCCTGAACATGGGCCCTATTTACAGTGTTTGATAACCACAGTGGCTCTCCACCACGGTGACTTTGTCCTCCCCGCTCCCTCCACGACACTGCAAGACCTGCAGACTTCTGAGGCTGTCCCAATGGAGGGGTGCTACTGCCAATAGGGTAGAAGCCAGGGACCTGCCAAGCACCCTACGATGGACAAGACAGCCCCCATAACAGAGAATCATCTGGCACAAATGTCAGAAGTGCCGAGGTGGAGAAACCCTAATCTGTGTGAACAAGCGTATTTCACAGCCAAAATGTTGTACTGTTTGGGACGGGTAGCTGCATATTACCTTTTCAAATTCTGAAAAATTCTGGCACACATCTGGACCCCAAGGTTTCAAGTGAGACGTTACGGATCTGTGTTTTCAACCACATACATACCAATCCTTGGTCTCATCATAGAGATGGTCACATGAGCAAAATATCCCGGGAACTCACTGATTTCCTTCCGGACCTCTCTCAAAGCTTTATATGCACATTGTTCTCTGCCGAAAGCCTGTTAGGACACCTTCCTGGGGGAGATTTTCTCTTCTCCTGAGTGCCGGCCCTCACAGGTCAGTGGCTTGCATGGAATTTCCCTGTCTCCAACATCACTTACGATGACCTCAAGAAGTTCCTTCACTTGTCATTTCACCTGGTGACCCTTCCGCACCTGGCTTACGATGAATTAGCCTAGCCTAAGAAGTCAGTTCAAAGAGATCTATTTTCACAAATGGTCACTTCCTAAGTGGACATTTTCATGTTTTAACCGCTTTATTCCCTAGGCAACCACACAACTGTGGAGGCTTTCAGTATGCAAATCCTAAGACAACAAGGATCCCTTGGATAAAAATGTCCAAACTTACAGAGAGCCAGGAGACAATTATACATGGGGGCCAAAGGAACTGATTAATCTCAGGTTTCACTAGGGGGTTAACTCAGGCCCCAGTATTGGCCGTTTGACTAGAAGTGAACCGATCACACAAAGCTGTGTGTATCCTCACCACAGAGCCAGCCTTGTGACTAAGTAAAGACACGCCCTTCCCAACAAACACAATCAGCAGAGCGCCCTGGAGGGACTTCCAGAGAAGCTGCTTCCTGGCACCATTTTACAGCAGCCCGTATAACATTCTTAGCAAATAAGGAATGTGTCATCTCTGACCTCGGCTATTGTGCTCCCAGTAGTGTTTTTAGAAAGATCGTTGTAGATTTCTGTCATCGTTCCTTTTATTGCATCCATCATCTGAAAGATAAAAACAGAAACAATTCAGGTGATCGCTTCCCTGAGGCTTTTCTAGATGAAATACATCTAAAACCTACCCAATACAAAGCAGTTGTTCTCAACAGGGGGCAATTCTGTCCCTCACAGGACATTTGGCACTTGTGGTTGTCATGACTGATGGGGAGGGGGGGGTTGGGGAAGCAGACTATTGGCATCTGGTGGGTGCAGGCCAAGGATGAGCTACATACGCTATATAGACAGAACAGCCCCCACAACAAAGAATTATCCAACCCAAAATGTCACTGGTGCCAAGGTGGAGAAACTCAGGTATAATCCAGGGTAGGAATACACAAAGCTAGTTTCTGTAGCCCACAGGCTAATCTGGAGAGGCTGAATTTGGGCCCCAGGCCTGTTTGCTTTGGCCAGCACGATGGGTTCAAGGGAGGAATTGTTTCCTTTTGTGACTGTTGTTTCTAAATTCCTTCCCCTTTAAAAAAAAAAAAAGTCTTATTGAGATCTCATTCATCTACCAATGGACCCATTTACAGTGCACAAATCCATGGCCTTTAATAGATTCACAGTTGTACATCCATCCCCACAGTCCATTACCCCAAAAAGAACTCGGATACCCCTTAGCTTTCACCCCCCAAAGGTCCCCATCGCCCCCCACCCCCTGACAACCACTGATCTGCTTTCTACACGGATGGATGTGCTTCATCTAGATATTTTCTATCTATGGAGTCACACAACACATGGTCTTTGGTGACCGCCTTCTTCCACTTAGTGCAGAGGTTTCGAGATCTGTCTGGGTCACAGACTGGATCAGTCCTTCGTTTTTATGGACGAATTAATCCACCCCACTGTGTGGCGATAGCTGGTTCGGTATTTGAAGGACTTTGGTCAGGGCTCCCTCCCATTGCCTGTCCAGTGTGCCATCTTCCTTTTCTTTAACTCTCTGAGCCCTGAAGGCATCAGCGAGTTTGTGACACCAGCTCAGGTCCACGTGGCAGGCACCTAGTTCCCTGCTGACTGAATGTGTCTGCAGGATGATTTTTCTCCTGCCTATCACTTGCTGGCTGATTCCCCGCCCCTCCAGCGGTCACAGGACAAAGAGGAGAGGACAGGAGACCAAAGCAGGCCTCGGGGCCTGGCCTGGCTGCAGCAAAGTCTCCACTGTGTTTTGCAATTTGCTCCAATCCAACAAGAAGGCATGACAAAAACCACCCTCGTATCTGATGCCCGAGATCTCTTCCCACCACCACCCACTCTCTGAGCCTCGGTTCCTCCATGTAGAAAACAAGGGTAAGGACAGTGGGCCCGTGTAGGGTGTGCACAAAGATTAGGTGAAAAACCCATGTGGAGACAATGGTTCAGTATCTGCCACAGGGCAGGTATTCAGAAAGAAATACCTGTTCATCTTATTTTTACAGGGGAAAAAAAAAATCCACATGTGCTGTAATTAATAAAGTGCCAAACTCTAAAATAATAACCCCCAATTCACCCCAAAATGGGAGGAAAACGAATACAGTCACCGTTGGGATTTCTACCCCTCACTTGTTTTGGGGGCCACACGTGGACGCGGCCAGGAAAAACACTTCGCGCTCCCCAGTCGTCCTGTATGGGCCTCCCCGCCCCGCTGCACCAACCATGTCAATTTAAAATATTAAGGCCAAATTGCTTTACAAGAAAACTTTAGAAAGTGGATGAAATTCAATACATTCCTAATGCAATGGTTACATTCCATTTTCAAGAAATCATGGATGTGTGGACGGATTTTCACTCTTTCTCCCAAATATAGCAAAGGGCTCAGCATTAATAAAAGAGCATCCTTCTGCCAACACACACAGATCTGGGTGTTCAACTCTGGGTCACCTCGGAGGCAGGAAAGTTCATCAGCTCCAAAAATATGTCACCGTGCTCATTTTCTTAACTGCGAAGAAAATGTCTGCCACGAAGTTCATTCCTCAATTTTGTGGTAAGAGCAAAGGGGAAGCCCAAGAAATAAAGACAGCTGCAGGAGCTCAGAAAACCAGCTCAGTGCAAACCACTCGCCAGGTCCACTCAGCAGGCCTCAGTTTCCTCATCTGTCAATTAGGCAAGTTGGACCCAATCAATGGAAGGTGCTGGTAAGGCTAAACTTAGCAGAACAAGAGACCAGTTAGGCACGCCAGACACCTTCTGAAATCAGGAACGAAAAAGATCACTCCTTTTCCATTCCTCCGTAAACCTGCATACCACATGAGGAACAAAGTCTCAGTATGGTGCCACTACGCACCAAACACTTTGGTGACAATCTCTCCTTTTAACCAAAGGAAAACAGGGGCGCCTGGGTGGCGCAGTCGGTTAAGCGTCCGACTTCAGCCAGGTCACGATCTCGCGGTCCGTGGGTTCGAGCCCCGCGTCGGGCTCTGGGCTGATGGCTCAGAGCCTGGAGCCTGTTTCCGATTCTGTGTCTCCCTCTCTCTCTGCCCCTCCCCCGTTCATGCTCTGTCTCTCTCTGTCCCAAAAATAAATAAAAAGTTGAAAAAA